GGCAGTTCAGCTGAGAACCTGGAACCGGGGACTGCTTTGTAGACAGTGAGAACCCTGGGTGGGGAGCGTCTTACCGCGTGGCAAGATCGTCTGATTTGCCCATCCTTGACCATGCGGCAGCCGCTGGTCTCGTTTGAAACAGGAAACGAAGAGCAGTGACAAACAAGCAAACGCTGGCTCGCGCCGTCTCCCTTGGTGTATTTAGCCATTGGCACAGCCATCGCCATCGGCTCATACCGTCCATGCCCGTCGCAAGTTCCTCCTGTTGGGGGGTTGTCGTGGCTGGGGCTTGCGTGGCCGCCCAGGGTGCCGCTGACAGGAATGGCGAAACAGCCTATTCGCCAGCTTTTGATGTTGGGTCCTCGCTATGTACTGTGCTCCGTTCTCAGTTTCCTTTCTCTTTGACAAGATGTACGTATATTAATGGATGACCCGTGGCTCCAGTGGGCTTCGGCGGGCGTTGGTGGCTGCCAGGTTTGACCCAATGGGATGGCCCAGAGAGGCCAGTCAAATCTCTTCAAACGCCAGGCTTGAGTTGAGCCATTTTGGTTTTTCCTTGCTTTGCTTCCTTGTTCGAAGGGTTCTCCTTTCCCCGTTGATGATGTCTGGACGTCTGGACCTGAGGCATCTCGCCTCGGCTGAATATCCCTTCCAAATCCAACCCAGACTCCAACCAACCGCTGGCCTTGGGCTTCCGACCTTCCGCTGCCGTGGCACAGACACGGGCACCATTACTTGATCCATCACCAAACTCTCAGTCATCAACCCATCCCCGCCAGGGACGGGCTCTACCGCCAGAGTCTCCAGATGTCATCTCCAATCGTTAGACTGTTGACAGCCTAGCAACCTAGCGCCCAAAATAGCAAAACTTTCGGTGTCTTTCTGTCTTATCTATCAGTCCCAGGTATCTACATGAAATGTTGGCCGGCTTGTGCATACTGTGACATAGCGGCACGTACATCAAGGTACCTGCGGTCCTCTTGGTACAGAGCGTCGATCTAGGCTCCATAGCTGCAGAAATCTTCGGATGCAATGGCCTGGGCTACAGATTGAAGCTAGATGGACTAGTGGTCCCTGTTCCTGATGATCATTGCCAGGGCGCGCATGCAAAAAAGGTTCCAGACGCCATCGACCCCTGTGCCTAGCTGCCATGAGGCCCATGACCCAGAGCCGGAAGCCCAGGTGGGCGCTCCCATTGCTTGCTAGACCAGAGACACATCAGATGGTAACGGTAATGCTAATCCATTGCCCAGAGAGACACTTGGTCCCTGTGAAATTCTAGCCGTGTTCCACAAGTTGAGAGGTTGGAGGTTGGAACTTGGAGGTCGGAGGGTGGAGATATGAGCGAGGTCCGAAGGCCGGACGACGAGTAACTACCTAGGCAGTTGAATATTTGAGCTTCACATGGTAATGCAAATTGCCGGAGTAAGACTTTTGATGAAGAGGCCAGGGCACCGGGGACGCTGCAGAAACGCACAACGAAGATTTCGTTAGATTAGGTCTCGTGCATGACGCTGTCCCTTATGGCTAGTCCCGGAACACGGTGAGAATACATTTGGTTGCTTCGTACATACGGAGTACAGGCTGAACAGCCGCATTGTGGTGGCAGTGGTGTCAGACCCTCGCTGAATGCTTGTTCTCTCATAATTGCCTCATCCATCAGATGGCGCAAGACCATCAGCCCGCTGTGAGGAAACCATCACTTTTGTTCATGTAGGTTGACGTGCCGAGAGAAAATGGAAAACCAAACGCCATGCCCCCGGTGAGCTGCGAGCAGATACGAAATTTTCACAATGCTGATACTCAGTGTGCCCGGTTGCAGCGATTTTTGATCTTGGAATTTTTTTTTTTTTTTTTTTTTTTTTTTCGGCGAAGATGGGAAAACTTTTCAGACCCACCAGCTCAGGCTGAACGGGCAAAAGAAATTGACCAGTTGGAGACTCGCATCCCTTTGAGTGTGCGCAGGTGCCTGTTATGTATATACACCAGACTTTTCTCTGATACTTGCTAAGTACATCTTCACAGTGAGGGTAACCTATTTATATACCTGTAGCTTTTCATATAGAAGGTAGTTACCTTTTTTATCATATAAATTTTTGAGTGAATTAAGTATCTTATAATTTAATATCTTCAATTGGCTAACATCCTTGGTCGTTACCAAAATGGCACCTGCGCACATTCAAAGGGATTTGATGCAAGATAACCACATGCAAACACTAGTGGACTGGACAGGAGCTGACATGGGTGCCTGCAGCAGGCTTTTCTTAGCGCCGTACGGAGGAGTACTAGTCAGCGCGCATGCCGCTACACCGCGGCGCGCAAAACGTTGTGAGCACTGTACAGCACTGCAAACCATTGTTTAGCGGCATCATTGATATCTGGTCTGTTGAAAATTTTCTCCTCCCCTTACATCGAGAAAGTTTGAAAGGCTCTTGCACCATTGATGCCCCGATATTCAGGCTCCCGCATCGGAGGCAATTGATTGGACAGGTCTTGGTGGCGCTGGGCTGTACTAACTTGAGCCTTTCTTCCAGCACAAGTAAACGACACAAGCAACATGTCGTCGTGCTCGGATAGTGTCGGCGCTCTTGTTCAGAGTGACGGTACCACAATCTATTTTATGTCAACAGCTTGTGTACCGAGAACGCACCATCGGCAAGCGTGGAGGAGATGGGATAACTCATCGTTTACGAAATTCCAATCTCTCCGCCCAGAAAACGGAACAGAAAGACCAGGGACAAATCTCCAGTGTGCCTAGAACACACGTTTCTGCAATAGGAGTCAGTTCGGAGTGTTAGCGTCGGGTTCAGCCAGGTTCAACAGATGATCAGATCAGAACCACCAAGAAAATAGGAAAAGCTGGCCGTTTACAGACCATGGCTTACGCCATTCCTCCTTTCAGACGATGATTCGAGCCATCTGCGGCGTCGTATCGGTGGTGTACTTTGAGTTCCGATCTCGTCTGCATCCATATCCAAGGAAGACAAATCCATTGTTATGCATGAGTCCACATGTGGTATTGACAGATGTAGGCACGGCAGGATGTGCCAACCATCGATGGTCGATAGCTGAAAGCCCATGTCTGCACATCTCGACGCTGGAGATTCCGAATGAAGCAACCGTTTAAAAGGAACCGGCTTGACAATGAAATGTACACATCTCGTAGCGACGGGTGGGTGCTTTTGTGACGGTTTTGGTGGGTATACTGTATGAACTGCTATTGCACACTGTCAATCTACACTGTCAATGCTCGACTACCCCCTGCATTCTCGACGTCGTCCTTTATGTTTCAACCTCGAACGATATCCAGATTCCAACGTACCAGTAGGCATCACTTCGCAAACGTTTCACTATAATTAATGAAACCGACGTCCGAAAACGCTATTTTATTGCACTGCTTCTTACGTTCTTTCTCATATCATAGCTACGATGGGTGCTGTAGTAGTTACTAAGCCGCTTTTTTCGGCAAGACAAGCGACATTGGGTTTGTCTCACCTCAAACGTCAAATCAGATCTGTATAAGTCAGCCAGCAACAACTTCAACATTGGCTAGAGATGCGTTCAGAGCTACCAAGAATTATTCCCGCTCCTCTCTATTGCTGCCTAATAGCTCGCGTGCAATGTTTCCTCATCTTGATGGCCCTCCGTTTGTCGCATTTAGACTAGCGACCTACTATAACTCAGCATTCCAGTCTCGGACATGACAAACGAGCCGAAAGTTTAATCTATCGGAGACATTCTCTTTGGGCACATCTGTCAAAGCAGATGTCAGGGAACCTCCCGAGCCTTTAGCCGGAAACCAAGCAACCTCCCGCATTCATGGTCGCCATGGTTCCACAAAGTAGTGGCGGGAGGAACACGGGCAAGTTTAATGCCACTCCAGGCTGCCAAATGTTCTATGGTCATCGGCCAGCTATGATTCGCCCAGGCTCGGGGACAGTTGACCGTTGATCATGGTCACCGAGGGGCTCGGTCCGATAGGATACAAAGGGAAACCGCCAATTGACCAGATGGTTGACTGCGGCGCAAGCTCATCATACGCCCTTCTTGGAGCTATCATGTCTGGCTTTATGAACCGCAGTATGTTGTATGATTCTCATCCAGAGAGCATCTGATGAATCCAGGTCCCGTTCCTTGCGCTGTGCGAAGACCGAGGTATTTGAAGGCGTCACGAAGCTGATATATGATCAGTCTAGGCCCCCCCTTCTTCTAGTGTGCAAGTTTTGATCGTGCGAGTGCGAGGCAACTCACAGCAACTATCATCAGTACACCACTCTGTGGACGTACAACTTTGGTGCATCGTTTCTCTGAGATCAATTATGGCCTCACAGGTTTTAAAGTTTTGCACCATTTAACTCATCTCCACACCAGCTGTCTCGAGGAATGATTCAGTCCTATTTCGTTTGTACTCACGGCATTTGCTGAAAGTATTGCATCGAAACAGGCTCAGCCGCGTCGTTAGCGGCTCGTATTGCCGTTGTTGTGGTCTGGTAGCATCGTCAATTAAGCTTAGAATACTCGTTGGATTCCTCCACCAGCTTTCCAGGACCTCAGCTCGAGGTACGCAAAATGCAGGTACAGGTGTCGTTGAAATATGCGTCTATTAGCTTGCGGGACGAGACCTTCGGAGACTTTTCCGTGATGTCTCACTGCTCCCGAGAAGCTTGGTCCATTTCCGGCGGGCTGTTGTTAGCGGCATCGGATCGCAAATAGCTTAGACAATGTCTCACACAACCTGCAACTTCCAAACTTGTCTGAAAGCGGGTTTCTATTCTACAACGCTGTTTTGAAAGCCGGTCTTCTAGTTCAGATCTTTGAGTGTATACTAAAATAAGCTTTCATCCAAGCTATGCTTAGATGTTTCTCTTCGCTTCCCACAAGTACAAATATCACAATAACCTCCCTCGCTCTCAGTAGTTTTTGTCTTACACAGGTCCAACCAACTTCATCGACTCTCGCTCATACCAACCAGCTGTCAACAACTTCACGAAAAATCAAAAATGAAGTTCTCCCAGGTCTTGACCATTGCCTACTTGGCCGCCGGCAGCGCTGCCGATGAGCAGCAGCCCAGCCAGGCCGTCAACCCTGCTGCTGAGTCGTGGACATGGAAACCTGTCAGCAAGCCGCCTGAACCTAGCAAGCCGCCGGTCTCTACCAGGCCGCATGAGTCTACCAGCATACATGAGCCTACCAGGACGCATGAGTCTACCAGGGCACATGAGTCTAGTAAGGCACGGGTATCTACCAGGGCACATGAGTCTAGCAAGAGGCGTGAGACTACCAGGACGCATGAATCTAGCAAGAGGCGCGAGTCTACCAGGACGCATGAGTTTAGCAGGGCACATGAGTCTACCAGGCCACATGAATCTAGCAAGAGGCGTGAGTCTACCAGGCCGCATGGGTCTACCAGGACACATGAGTCTAGCAAGACCACGGAGCACAAGACCAAGACCGAGACCAAGACCGAGACCAAGACTAGGGAGCACAAGACCACGGAGACGGAAACAAAGCGCAGGACCAAGACGGAGCGCGAGACCAGAACCAAGGAGCATAACGCCACAGAGACGGAGACAGAGCGCAGGACTAAGACGGAGCGCCAGACCAGAACCAAGGAGCAGACGGCCACAGAGACGGAGACGGAGCGCAAGACCAAGACGGAGCGCGAGACCAGAACCAGGGAGCATAACGCCACAGAGACGGAAACAGAGCGCAGGACCAAGACGGAGCGCCAGACCAGAACCAAGGAGCAGACGGCCATAGAGACGGAAACGGAGCGCAGGACTAAGACGGAGCGCCAGACCGAGACGGAGCGTAGGACCAATACAGAGCGCGAGACTAGGACAAAGGAGCATAAGGCCACCGAGACGGAAACGAAGCGCCAGACCGAGACGGAGCGCAGGACCAAGACAGAGCGCGAGACTAGGACCAAGGAGCATAAGGCCACGGAGACGGAGACGGAGCGCCAGACCGAGACGGAGCGTAGGACCAAGACAGAGCGCGAGACTAGGACAAAGGAGCACAAGGCCACGGAAACGGAAACGGAGCGTAAGACCGAGACCGAGCGCAAGACAAAGACAGAGCGTGAGACCCGGACCAAGGAGCACAAGGCCACCGAGACCGAGACCGAGCGTAAGACCCGGACCAAGGAGCACAAGGCCACAGAGACGGAGCTCAAGACCCGGACCAGGGAGCACAAGGCCACGGAGACGGCGCACAAGACCAAGGAACGCCCGATTGAGGTCACCACCAAAGTCATTTCCACGGCTTTTACCACTTTCTTCCCGGTAAGTGTAATTCCACAAACAAAACGCTTTGTTCTGTAAGAAAGCAAGAAGGGTTCCGGAGCGCGGCGGACCGTAGGCATTTGACAGCATTGGCTAACATGACCTGATATAGGTGCCCACTACTCTCACCGTTAATACTGAGACGTTCACTGTCATTACTCCTACCACCCTCACCTTCACCAACTGCCCATGCACCATTACTCAACCCATAATCCCTCCTCCCCAGACTGAAACTCAGGTTATTCGTCCTCCTCGTCCCCAGACCGGAACCCAAGTTGTTGTTCCTCATACCGAAACCGAAGCTCCTCTCCCCATTTCCACTGCCGCCGCCGACAAGGCCAACGCTGGTATTGGAGCTCTCGTTGCTGCCGGTTTCGCCGCCATGTTGCTCTAAGCGTATCTTACGCTTTCGACTCAGCGCCTTTCTCCGCTGCAACCTCAAGTCAGTCTGAAATAAGGAGTTTGGGAAAGCACAATCCGAGCGGTTCTGAATCAAAGGCACAAGGCGTCGGTCGGCGTTGGAAGGGAAATGTTTTATTCCTTTTTCTCTCTGTCCGATGATGGAACACAATGGCTCTAAACCTCCATTGCTTTCTACCTCTGGGGTAGACAAAGAGCCTGATGTTTATTTCGGGCCGACCTTCCTTATATATCTCTGCATCGAATTATTTCTGACTTTCGTTAATTTCTCTTCTCTAATTCCTGGAGGGCGGTATCCTGTCAGAACACCGTGTCTCGCCTTGAGACACGCGGGTTGCGATGGGTCGCCTATCCTCCAGTTTACCTGATAAGACCTTTTAGTATGGTTGGTTTTGGTTTTGGAAAAAAAAAAGAACTCTTGGGTATTTAGTAATTTATTATCTACTTGGGAACACAGTCTTGTCCACATATTTTGCAAGTCGGGCGTGACTGCTAATACGGTTAGAACCTCATTGAGTGTTGTTGAAAGACGCCACTGGCCGACCATCGACTTGGCGCCTATACATGATTGGACCGCGACTTCGAGCTCACCAGGACCCGGGTGATGGGTGCTCTTTCACGACCTCGAGCTTGTACGTATTGTCACCCCAACACACCTTCCCTCACGCACAACTCCGTAACAGGCATCATAACATGCTACATTGACGTAACTCGTAACAATCCCAACTTGTCCTGCACAACGCCCAAATACACCCAGCGGAGCCAAGCACCGTCCGCTAACTATCCGAGCCAAACATGCCCGAAGCCTCCATCCGGGACCTAATCTCCCTCACCAGCGCCTTTGCCTCCTCCACCTCGACGCCGTCCTGACATAGTTCCGTGGCAAGCCTATTGGCAGTGGTATAGTCAGACGTGCGCATGGCGAATCTGGCGAGCCACATGCGTGCTTTGCTCGTAGCAGCCGTCACGCCCGTTCCCTCTCCCCCACCATCCGCACCCGCAGGCCCGTCCTCCCTATCGGCGTAGTCCTCCGAGGCGGGCGAGTCGGTATGGACCATGACTGAGGATTCGCCGAGATTATTAGCGTCAGCGACTCCGCCTTCTTCCTGAGCCACGCAGAGCTCCATGTAGGCCTTAGCTTCCTCCTCCTCGCCGAGCTGGTCGTACATGGCGGCGATCTGGAGCAGGATCTCCGGGTCCATGTGTCCCGTTGCGCCGCGAGCACCGAGAAGATCGCCGCCACTGCCGAAGCTGCTACCCACATCGTAGTAGGCGTCTGCGAGGAGCGCTCGTTTGAGCGCCTTTATGCCGTCGCGCTCGCGGCCCATCTTTTGGAGGCACGAGCCCACCGCCATCCACATCTTGCCGTCCCAGGGCCGCAGGCCGGCCGCCTTTTTGTAGTACCAAAGGGAGTAGGTGTGCATCTCGAGCATTTCGTACGTCTGGCCGAGGCCGTACCAGGCCCGGTAGTCGCGGCGGTTGACGTCGACTGCGCGGCGATACGACTCGATGGCCGCGTGGGTGTTTTTCAGCTCCACGTATTCGTGGCCCATGAGCGTCCAGGCCGACAGGCACGAGCGATCGAGGGTTAGTGCTCGTCTAAAGTACTGAACTGCCTTCTCATGCATGGATAGGAGGGAGTAGTAGTTGCCGATGACGACGCAGGATTCCGGACGGAACTTGTCGACGCTCGAGCAGAGGTGTGCTACAAAGGCCAGCTTTGGACGCATGTTGAGGACGTAGAGGATGTTGGAGTAGTGGTCTAGGGAGTCGAGTCTGTGGGGATGCAGCGAGAGCAGCCGGCTGAAGTGGTGCTCGGCTGCCATGAGGTCTTTGGCGTGGTATGCTAACAGGGCATTGCAGGTGAGAAGGAACGAGGACGTCGGGAATATTGACAGGAGCTGTTCGAGGGAGTTGGCGAGATTGGGTGTCTGTTGATATAGTTCCAGGGACGTGTGGAGATGAAACATGAATGATACAATGTTTTGAGGGCAGTGTCGTGCTATTTGATTTAGCTGTAGATTAAAAAAGTATTAGTATAATGGCTTACGTAGAGATAGGTCAACGGAATAACGTCGACTTACTTCTTCAACCCTCGATATGATGGACGTCATTTCCAGCCAGCAACCCCAGTTCATGGGATATTTGTGAACGCTCCGGACAAAGTAATCCATGGCCTGAGCATCATTCTTCTCCTTTGCAAGAACTATGCCATACCTACACAGTCGTTAGTCCACGCACACGTACCTTCCAGCGGCTCATTCTCGCCCCAAAACTCACAGATATTCCAACCACCCCTGACTGCCCAACACTTCATCGTCCGACGTCGTCCTCTCCTTGAACCAGGCCGCCAAATACCTCCCCACCACCAAAAGCTGCTTATTCACCACCGTCCCCAGGTCCTGGGGGCCCATAACCATCTCAGACTCCTCATTCTTGCGCTTCTCCCCAGACATAAACTTGGCGTACAGCGCAAGAAACAAGCTCTTCTGGCTGAGTCTCGGCAGCGGGGCTGCACCCGACGCCGGACTTCCCTCCGTAGCTTTCGCCTTACCCTTTGATCGCTGCGACGGTGTCGAAACGGTAGTTTCAGAGCGCGATGACAGGACCGACGACAGCAAAGACTCTGGGAGGAAAACCGCAGCGCATCGGTCGAACTCTTTGCAGTCGAAGAGAGACTTGGCTAGTAGATACTTGCTCAGTTCCTTGGCCTCGAGGGCAGCTTCTTCGGGGTCCGCGTTTGGTGTGAATATTGGCGATGTACAATTAGAACCGTCCGCAGGGGTGGCATCATCGACTGCGTCGGTTTCGGGGAGCGCATTGAGCAGTTCGGCAGCCCTGGGGTGGGCGGGAAGCGACGTTGTTAGTGGCACTCGTTCAGGGTTGATCGAGAGTCGTTGTTATGGATTTGACAAACCATTTAGCCGACTGGTAAAGACATCTCTCGGAGCACTTTACCGCAGCGTCTTGGAGAGCACTTCGCAACTGCGAGATCTCTTGCGCACTAAGCGCCATTGCTGGCGAGGGTGGCCGTCCAGATGGAACTGGAGTTGGTTACCGCATCAAAGACCTCCAAGGTAGAAGTGCTGCTATCCCACAAACGCCTAATTTTGTTGAAAGTTTGACAAGTCAATTTCGCGTCTTTTTTCTCTCGAATTGCGTGTGTATTGTTCTCGAGTTGTGTCTTGTGTCGCTACAGCGCGTCTGCTGGCTATGGTGGGCTGTGATGATTGTCGCGTAGATGGCAAGCTCCTTGGAGATCCCAGATAATACAGTTCTCGCACCGTGCTCTTCACTGTCCACTCAACAAGCCTTTCATAACATGTCAAGTTGTCAACCAACATGGTACCTTCAGCAACCTTGCTTGACCTGGCATAATCAAGTACTGCAGATTCTGCTTCGGTGGCAGAACTCGCTCTCTTTTCGAGAATAACATTACAACGTCAATTACAAGGGTGATTTGTACGGGGTATAAACGCAGCCCAAACCGAGCCATCCGAGTACCCCGAGCAAAAACACACACGAGGAGACCAAGTTGGACTCAACCAAATAAGCCCCTCTCTCAATCCATCCCTTTCTCTTTGCTATTGCCGGGACCGGTTTCCATTCACAGTTCCACTCGGCCATCTCCACCGTTACCGCGACCTATTTGCACAAGATATCCAATCCCACTATTGCCTATGTGTTCCATATTTGACAGATCGAATAAAACCTAGCTACAGTCCTTCCGTAACGCCAAAGGAGGTCCCTTTATATACGCCCAAGCTCATCAACTCCTACAGCTAACTTTGTCAATTTGCCCGGTTCACCAGCGGCTCAGGACGATTCGGTTGCGTGCTATAAGGCTGCGCATGATGTGGGCGACGTCGGCTAGATGTAGCTGGCGTAGGAGGGGAACGGTCATCAACAGTGTTGAGTCGCTTTGGTGAACTAGAGGTCTTGCTACGAGCACGAGATACTAGAGATAGAGAGGGACGCTGGGGGGACGGCGGCGGTTGGCCAGTAAAACCAGCGCCATGTGAAGCCGGTAATCCACGGCGAGACATGGTCCTTCGGGGAGCACCATCACGGGGCTCTCTCATTGTGCCACCTGTTGCGTAGCTAACTAGCGGCTGACCAGGAGCTTGCCTAACGCCGGCTGGGCCTTCGCGAAATCGTGGAGGCTCAGGAAAGTCTTTTGAGAAGCTAAGCAAAGGACCAGGATGCTTCTCTGAGCGACTGGCCCCAGTGTCGGCAGTCATTGGTCTGCGCTGTTGGTATGATGACGACTGTGGGTGGAAGGATTGACTGCGAATACGAGCTGAGTGCTCCGCAGCAGAGGGGAACCAAGACATAGCTTCAGGCCTCTTCTTTTCTTCCTCAGCTTGCTTTTTGAACTTGTCAGGAGCACCTGATGAGGAGTTGGAAATGCCGCCGTTCAAAAGAGACGGGGCTTCGGTAAAGGGCCCATCTGAGACAGCCTTGGACGCCGCAGAGGCAGCATCGCTTTGCTTGATTTTAACATCATAGGCATTGCCTAGCAAACCGCCTGCTGCGAATTCCGATTCAGCTTTCTTGACAGTCTTGGAAAAATCGACGTCTGCAAGCATATTCTTTTTCACAGTGCCGGAGCGATTAACCGACAATTTCGACTTGACAGACACTGATCTTCTGCTTTTTGCTTCCTCGGGCGTGATGACAATCTGACTCATTCGGAATGCATCGACATTCATGAGAGGCTCGTCCTTCTGCGATGCAATGGTAGAAGCCCGTACGCTGGTACTACCACTGTTAATGCTCTTTTGGGGGCTTTCACTGTTATTACTCTTGGGACCAAGCGCGATTTGCGAAACTCGACTCTTCTCCTGAAGATCTACCATTCGATTGACAAGATACCAGCTTCGCCAGGCGTGCACCTTTTTAAAAAACCGGGCTGCCTGCTGTGCATCATTCGTCGAGAAGTAGTGGACAAAGTTCTCGGTGTTGGCAAATACGACGGGCTTTTGCTGACTCTTGATGGCATAGCAAAACTTCTTTGGCGGCCGGAGATGACGGCGCATCTGACTTTCTCTGGGCGAGTAAATATCAAAGTCGGTCATGTGACATAGGACAATACTATCCTTGCTCGAGGCATTAACATTCGGCGACTTGGCAGCGTAAATCTGGCCGTTTTCAAGAAGCGTCACCCAGCGCTCGGTCCATTTGCCAGTCTTTGACGAGTGATGCATTTGCATGGAAAAACCCTGGGGAGGCTCCTTGGTGAGAGGGGCAGCTTGCAAGTCCAGGTCCAGGTCACTGTTTGGGGATTCGGACTTTATGACGAGCAGAGAATGTTGCTTGTCCTGGTCCCAAGAGTTCATGACGTCGCGAACGCGCTCATAGCGACGGAGGCGACGCTCAAGGCCAAGGGCGGAATAGCACTCTATTAGGACACATTTTTCTGAATTTATGTCATGTCTTGTCTGGTCCGCCGTGGCCCCGAGAATGTCAACAGGAGACGTATCTGCTGTCACTGGCAGACTGATGGTGGATGAAAAGCATCGCACAGTTATACGCTAAATCGTACGCTGTTAGCAAGGGTCGCCATTCGCACGTACAAAACTCATCGTCACAAAATGAGCAGGCAAACGCGCCCGCGACGAAACAAGATAGGGTATTTTTTGTGGGTGAACGACTTACTCGCTCTCCGCCGTTGCTAGCAGACACCGGCGCATCGGTTTGCGGAACAATACCCTTTCCTCCGGGCGCAATAAAACTCATCTTGAAAGCAGATAGAGCAGGTAGACCGGGTGTTGCTGGTTCCTCAATACGGGCGTCACGGCTGGAATGGCTGGTGGCTGGTGAGAAGATGGCCGACACTATTGTGCTGGGTGTCCCAGGCTGGCTTCCACCCGTCGATCGTTTACCTCGTGAGAAGAAGATGAGTTTGTCAAGTAGTTGGCGCTTGGGCTTTGGCGGAGGTGTGACGAGCTGGGCTTGAAGTCGCGCAATGTCCAACTTCTTTTGTTCAGCAAGGATCCTATCAGTCTCAGCCTCAAGGCGCGCGACTTCATCAGCCAAGTGATTTGCCAGGTCGTCAATGTCCTTGTCACTTTCTTGTTTGATGTCCGAAACGGTGCTGTCGTCCCTGGGCTCCTTGGGCTCGTCCTCGCCCGCAGGCTCGTTTGCGCTGTCGGCCTTTGGCAGCTGCACGGAGTCTCCCCGGTCGTCACTGCGTTGTTGGCCCTCCTCTTGGCCCTGTTTGCTCTCTTCTTGGCCCTCTTGGCACTCTTGATGGTCGACCTGGTTCTGGGATTGAGGACCCGCCGCCGTGCAGTCCCCGTCTGTGCCACCCTCGTCCTTATTGGCTGACTTGTTGATCTTGGAAAACGATTTCCAAGGCGGAATTGCCGAGTTAAAAATGGGAGATTTTATGTTCCCTAAAATCTTGCGGCCAGACGGGGCGGAAATATTGATGGACCTAGGGCTCAGTATGCCTCTTGCGGGCGCCGGCGCGACAGGCGGGGGATCCTTGGACCCTGTTGCATTGCCGTGATATGAAACGCTTTTGGAACGGGATCTAAGCGAGTTCAGACTACTATTGCTTTGTTCCAGCCCTGCGTGGATTGAATCGCTTTGGGGGATGTCGTCATCCCGAAATACACCAAAGTCACGCGGCGATGACACGCTCTTGCCGCGCAGACTGCGATACCGTGAATAGGTCTGAGTAGGTGGTACAGGAACCGCCTCGATCGGGCCCAGGTCCCTACTCATGGCGTCATGTGCCATTGTAAAACTATTGCTAGTATATTCTTCGCCCACTGCCGATGCTTTCTGGGTCCAGGGAACCCTATCTCTTCGCTTGGGCCCTGTACATAAGCCTGCCTCGCAGTATTGTCTGTAGAGATCTGGCTGTTGTTGGTGATCTGGGGATTAGAAACCAAGCCCCTTGTTTTGAATTAGTAGACGACTTCCCTGACGTAACTGGACGACGGCAAGGCGTGGTGTCACAGAATTAATCCCTGCCGAAGCCCTCCGTACGACCACAATCTGGCCTTGTCCAATTGAATGTAGACAAGCGGCGACACAAGTTGTCGGTGACGCCTGGTGTCGTCGAGTGTGTGGAAAGTTGCTCGTATTCGAAAGGAGGCAACGAGCGATTTGACGGCAAGAGGCCGGCGGAAAGCAGAATTCAAAGAGCGAAAGAAAGTAATTAATTAAGTAATTAATTAATTGAAAGATGTAAAGAGCGAAAAGGATCCGTTACATTATTCCCCAAACGAGATCCCACAGAAAGAACAAGGAAGTAATGAGGGAATCGGAGATTGATGATCGATACGATACGGGAACGAGAACAAGTAGCGCTCCTAAAAATAAAGAGGGGAAGAAGAAGAGGGAAAGAACAGAAGTGGAAGGTCGATCACGTTTCGTGACGCTAAGCGAGTGGCATTTTGCGTGTTGATCCGAACCTGGGGAAACATGCCATTACAATTTGTTCAACAGTCGACCGTGATCATCTTTCATGTCTCAATTCTCCCACGGCGTCACTTTGATATCGCTGCCACGTTTTGCTTTTCTCCGTACAAGCGTGCAGGCATCACAATTCTTTTACATGCCTCTTCTCCATCTAGCACACAACACTGTGTCGTCCGCGCCATAACACGCGTCGTGTGAGGTTTTGTCTCTCCTGGACCGTGAGTGGCCAGACATTCCAGGACATTGTCTTAGATGTCTTGGAGTCCAATTTACTCAATCCTATCAATTCCCATGTTGTGGGCCTCCTCGGGCGTCCAGAAGGTAAGACAAAGAAGTCTGACGAGGCTCTATCCGCCGGTCTTCGAACGGAAGAGTTCAGTCGCCGGGCTGTTTAAATTGAGACCACACCAGCAGCTGCAAGAGCTGTGGTCGATTAGTAAAGCTTTTGAATGGTGCCCCCAAGTCCCCGGCAAGCTTGAAGCGCGTCACAGACTCACCACTCTTGCATTTGGCATTCAGAATTTCACTGGTGCTTTTCCAACGTGATATTTTCGATCCTCATTAGTGCCTAAGGTGCCTACTAAGCTTATACTTCGATTAAGAAATGCTTCAATTTGTCTTTAGGCGTGGAGTATGGACCAAACTGCGGAATTTAACCATAGCATCTCTTGACAGACGCTGCCCGGTTTAGGCGCTGGATAATCCGAGTCTTCGACCCTTCCCTCGGCCGAGAGTGGTGCAACTGACTAACCGAAAACTGCGAAGTTTTGGGGGCCAGTAAGCTTTCAGAACTCTGAGACGGTGTCTAGGTTCTGCTTTCTTTTTTTATCCTTTTTCTGCTCTGCGCCACTTGCCCCAGCCCAGGTAGTTATCCTGTTGGGACACAAAAAAAGAGATTATTGCCCCATGGTACGTATCACCAGGGAACATCCCGAACTCTCGAGTAACGGTGACGCGGGTAACCGGTTTTGCGTGACATTTCAAAATGAGGTGTGATACATGACGAGATCGGTGGCCAACTGACTGAAAATTTTCCACTAGTACTACTGTATTCTATTCATGACCATCCGGGTGCATTCCTAACCTCTCGTACCCATTCAAGGGGAAGAGCATGGGTCTGGAAATCAGTCAGCAGGGTGACAGATGTTCTAAGCTTCAAGCTTCAAGCGGGTTTAGTCGTGTACTCTGTACGGTCGTTCTAGACCTCCCGGGCCCTTTGAGCAGAATTCAGCAAAACGCGCTAGTTACATACCTGCCCGCTTCCAAATACCAGCACTCATGGCTCGATATAGATTTGACAGGCACAAATTTCTTTATTTCTAGTACTTGCTAAATGCTCGAATCTCTCGACGCCACCAATCTACAAAGTTACACGTGGAAATGTCGATGCCCAAGTCCTGGAGTGCTTTAGTGCTGAGGTGACAATCATAAGGCCTTTGTACTGCAGCATTCGGGTCATTTCCCTGCGTATTTGCTTCGATGTTTGAGGTATCCAGCCCCATTATCTGTCCAAATAATTGACAAATCTCGTATTTTGTCATTTTGTCCTCACCAGAGAATTGCAGGATCGATGGTAATGCCTTGCGATGGCCAGGCCCATTTGCGTCCAGATACTTTGCTGCTACATCTAAAAAGCTCATTAGTTGACAGATTCGCGTTTCGGCCGTGAAGAAGCTTCTACATAGCGCGCAGTTCAAATTTGCAGCATATTTGAATCGTAGGAGTGGTAGGGTGATGACTACGTGAAACATACCTCGACATACACGCCCAATGTCCTCGGTGTTAGTAGGATACCGAATGGCCCAGTGATCCATCTTAATCTTGGCACCTTCAGTCTGGGCTTTCCAGACAGAATCCATCAGGACATTGACAGCACTCTCGGCGGGGGTCTCGGCATGGCCGTACAGAACAGGGACGCGTAGGACTATCGCTGAACCAGGTTTCCCGACCTTCGCAGCCTCCTCCAGAATTGCCCGCTCCCCATCGAACTTCGTCTGTCCATACAAGTTTGTTGGCTTTGGCGTTGCATCAGCTTCGTAGGGGGCATCTCCTGGTATACCAGGGAAGACGTAATCTGTGGAGATATAGATGAGCAAGATATCCCTAGATAATGCTACCTGAGCAAGCCGTCTGCTGGCGGCAATATTAAGAGCCCTGGCTCCCTCGGGGTCCTTATCAACCCGGTCCGGAAATCGCTGGGCAGCAGCTGCTCCATTGTCAATACAGCATCGTAAATTCGTACATCATTCCCCTTCCTTACAATGGACAATGACGTGAGGTCTATTGAAGCCGTGGAGAACAAAGTGTCAGCACCGAGCAACAGGGAGGCTCTGCTGGTGAGAATACGGAGAAGATTCGTACTTTGTTTCGTCGATGACGGTGTTGAGCTCATTTAAATCTTCATTCTCGAGATTAACTTTGAGGATGTCAACCCCGTCAGCTCGGGAATATCCTATGCCTTTGACATCCCACTTAGGGCTCTGCCGAAATGCAGCTGTGATCTCGCGGCCGAGTAGTCCAGTTGCGCCGGTTACAAGTGCTGTCCGCTGGCCTTTTGACGCCATAGTGTTCGGATAAAACTGGTCAAGCCTAGTGTGTTTGCGTTTGTATCTGCGTTTCGTATCGAGTCGTGAATCCAGAATTGCAGAGGATGTGACGGGAGTGTTTTTACTGTTAGCTGGTGGTGGGTTCCGCTCAAGGAAGGTACGTGGAGGGGTAGCTAGCTCCTTCTGTCCATTGAGCAAAAAATCCTGTTTCATAGAACTGGAAAAACCCGTGAGCTGGAAAAGAGATGCAGACTCTTGAGGTGCCTCGCTTCCATGCCCCAAAAAGAACTCATGACCCCAAATGCAAGCCATTATCGTATTTATTCTTCTACTTGCGCTATATTGACGCAGCGACTTCATCTAGGGTAGCATCTCATACAAACTTCAGAGGGTGGTGCATGCGCTTCACAGGAATCGCACGGTATTAGCCAAAATTTGTCAGTGCATAGTCCGTGTCTTAGTTAAGATTGATAGTGTAGGTGGACGCATGCAATAATGTCGGTCTCGACAGTACTTCTTGGTGGGCAAAATACATTCTGCCACAGACCTTGGACCGCCTTTGCTGATGCCACCGAGCAGTAGTTGCCTGAGGCACCAACCCTATATCGTGTATAGCTCGGTATTTGTACTCCATAGTGTTTTGCATCAAGCAAACTTTCACCACAAGTTGAACATCAGCATCCCACCACAATGCCGTCGCCAAAGCGGAGAATAGACGCCGAGACGGCGGAGAGACTAGCCGCAGAAGAAGGCTTCGTCACGGAAGAAGAAAGCGAGCAAGACGACGAGTCAGAAGACGCAAGCGGCTCGTCCGAAGAAGAAAGCAGCAGTGAGGAAGAGCAAGAAGCGCCCAGAAGATTAATGATGCGGCCGAAGTTCGTGCCCAAAAGCCAACGGGGAAAAGAAGCACTCGACAAGGAAAAATCCGAAGAAGAAGCCCGTCTCGCCGAAGCGGCTGCCAGGCAGAAAGCAGCCGACGAGCTTGTCGAGGAGCAAATACGAAAGGACCTGGCTGCCCGCGCAGCCGGCAAGAAGCACTGGGACGACGACGAAAATTCCGACTCGGACGTCGACACCACAGATGACCTCGACCCGGAAGCCGAAGAAGCAGCCTGGCGCGTGCGCGAGCTGAAGCGCCTCAAGCGTGCCAGACTCGCCATCGAGGAGCGCGAGCGGGAGCTGGCAGAGGTCGAGCGCAGACGAAATCTCACAGAGGAGGAGCGCAAGGCCGAAGACGAAGCGCACCTCGCCAAGCAGCGCGAAGAAAAGGAAAACAAGGGCAAGATGTCGTACATGCAGAAATACTACCACAAGGGCGCCTTCTTCCAGGAGGAGGCAGAAGCGGCGGGTCTCCTGCAACGCGATATCATGGGGACCAGGATTGCAGATGACGTGCGGAACAGAGAGGCCCTGCCGGAGTACCTGCAGCGGAGGGACATGACAAAGTTGGGCAAGAAGGGTGCCACCAAGTACAGGGACATGCGGTCCGAGGATACCGGTCGCTGGGGAGAATTCAACGATAGGAGGGGCGGAAAGTTTGGCGGCGATGAGAGATTCCGGCCTGATGACGAGCGGTTCAAGCCCGACGAGAGGGACGCAAAGGGCGCCAATGCGATCCCACTGGGCGACAAGGAGAGACGAAGAGACGATGGGAGAGGGGACAACTACAGACCGAGGCATAGGTCTCGGTCACGGTCGCCGATAAGGGAAGGCGACAGACGAAGGAAGAGGAGTACCTCAAGGCATGCATATGACGGCGATAAGCGACGGAGAGTGAGTCCATTATAGATGATGATACCCCTAAGAATTGTACAATATCAAGGCCTTGCGAGCCAAAAAAAAAAAAAAAAAAGGAAAAAAGTATTAATCTTTCTCCCCGCTCTGCATATCTCGTAGTACACCTATATCCGAACGATTTCTACCCTCGCCCTGTCGAATATCTTGTGGCTCTGCATCTCGTCCCCCTCAACAGCAGGTGGGTATAATGTCATTCTCGCAAATGTACCCGCACCTCTGCGTTTGGACAATGGCCCAGGATTGATGGCTAATACACTCTCGACGACCTAATTCGTTAGCCCTGCCCTTGTTTCCTCACATACCAAGGAAAACTACAACGAAATCACACTGGCATCCAAAAAGACGACCACCAAAAAAAAAAAAAGAAACATACCTTGGCAAACGGCGGCAGGCAACTAGGAACCAGCATAACATCCGGCCTGACATTGACCATCTCCCCCAACTTCAGGTATCCGATATCCAAGACGGCGCCGGTCGCAAGGCCCTCCTCAGTCCCCGTCTTGGGCAGCCGCGTCCTCTCGGCGGCCGGGAACAGTGGGAAGTAGTGCCTCTGCTCAACCAGATACCGGACCAGCCTGGTCATCAGGTCGCCGCTCGTCTTGGCCAGCTCCTCGCTCCTCAGCTCGTACAGAATATCCTGTGACGAGACACCCATGACCATTTCGTTCATGGACAGCGTCATGGGGTTGGACACAATCTTGACTGACTTTGGCAGATCCAGTTCCCTACGGAGCACGGCGTCCTGCGGCCAGGAGACGTGCTTGTCGAGGACATCCCGCACGGAAGGGATGAGAATGACGCTGAGGTGCGGGTTTGCAGAGCACGCGCGGACGAGGGCCGGCGCGAAGAGGTACTTGAAGACGGTGATCAGGGTGGCCGTGTCCGGGTCCTGGACAGCCTCCTCGGGGAGGTCAATGTCGCCCGTTGCGATGAGCGGGTGGTCAATGTCGAGAAACGGCCCCGCGAGGACCAGCGCGTCGGCATAGGAATCGGCTGCCTGGGAGCAGAGCGCGTGGAGCGGCTCGTAGTCGAGATTATCGTCGGCCGTGTACGGGCCCGACGCGTACATGATGGTCAGCGGCGCGGGCTCCGCATCCGAGTCCATGGCGTCGGCGTGGCCCCTGAACTTTGCGCGGTGGGCCTCGAGGGCAGAGGCCGTCGAGGCCGCATTGGGGAGGAGAGGGATCTCGAGGATTTCGTGGACGACGAACTCGTTGCCCGTGGCGTTGTGGCCGCGCAGCGCGACGATTTGTCCCGGGAAGAAGCTCCATGCGCGGATCTTGTCCATCCTCAGAGGCACGCGGAGGCCCATTCCTGTCCGGCGGGATGTTTCCAGCACGAGGGATGCAGTGTTGAGTCTGCCCTCCATCGAGTCGGAGGCGATTCTGCCCACTGCGACGACCTCGGTGGTGCTTTGGCTGGCGGCGCTTCCAAACGCCGAGTCTTCTAGCTTGTGGTGGTCCTGTACAACCGTGATGAACTCGTCGATGCGGTCGTCTAGAATCTCACTTGCGTCGGAGAGCTTCATAGCCAGCGGCTTGTACGCCATCTTCTTCACATCTGACGCAGCAGTCAGTTTGATTCTCGGCTCGGCGAACGGCGCAATGGGTGCTTCAGCGGGTTGAAGATGGCCATTCAGCACCTCGACGACATCTCCTGGGTTCAAACGGTCCGCAAACGAAGTGGTCCTGTCATCAAAATCAGCACGAAACCAAACATGCAAAATGAAGAATACATACGGCAGCCCATTCATAGCCTTTAACTGATCTCCCATTCCCGCCGGCGAACTGCCCACTCTCAAGCCGTCCATCCTCTTCTTCAAGGCACTCCCTCCCACGCCACCGCTACGATTCAACCTCCCCGTCGCTGGCGTGCTGGGCACCAACCCATCCAACATGCCAAACACGTCGCCGCCCGAACTCGCTTTGGGTGTGGCATTCAACACCTTGCGCTCGTTGCGCACCTGAGTGGCGCGGTGGCTCTTTTCCAGCTCATCCTGTATGCTCTGCTTTAAATTTCGTATTCTGGCAAGCGACAGGCCGGCTTGCGCGTCCAAATCCATCTTTATGCAGTAGGATTCCCATTTGAAGAAGAGGTCATCAACGGAGAGGTCGTGCAGGCGCAAGATGGACTGGATTTCGGTTATGATGTCTGGTTCGAGGGGGGAGTTGGGGGAGAAGCGGGTTTGGATGTCGGATTCTGCCATGGTGGGCAGAGTGAGCAATCTGCTCTGGGTGAGTATCTCTGCTGCGAGGATCAATTGGTGCAAGGGCGAATATTTCGTCAAAGGTTAGCTGAAACTTGATATTCGATTTGGAGTCTTGAGGGTCCATGTCTGGCGTCCTTGATGGTGGGGTCACTTGAAAGTTCAATGCTGGGTCGGGAGACGCGACGACGCGTCGTTAGCGTTCGCGTAAAGTGCCCGGCCACTTGGCGTCATCCTTGCTTAGCTGCTCGAGCGTCTGACATCCTGGAAAGCTATCATGCGGCTTATTGTCCTCCGTATGCACCCTGTATAAACAATTACATGTTTGTACCATTTAACTCTTCACAATTTCTAATTGCATACGACTTAAAATATCAGCAAAGCTATACGCTTGTTAACTACCTACTCAGCGCATCGACTCCAAGGCGCTCTAGCACTTGTAATTCGTACCTGCCGGCTTGGCTTCCAAGTTTATACAGAGGAACAGAATATAACCCGAACTCCAATCCTCATTACAATTCCAATTCCATACGCATGTGCCAATCCCTGGTATCCTTCCACGTTCCATATTTCGCCCAAAAAAAAAAAAAAAAAAAAAAAACAGACAATATGTAAATGCGATAGATTTAATAATGTTCATGTTCAACTGGTGTCCATGTCGCCGGTTGTATCAATGTCCCACTGAGCCCACACACTAGATGAGGCGTGATAGTCAAATGACATAGGTCCATCTTTTGGAGGCGAGCTAGGCATAACAGCATCTGTGCTGAGGAGGTTGCCAAAGTCGATCATGCTGCCAGCATTACCGTCTAGCGCTGGCAGACTGCTCAGATCCAGGTCGTCGGCCCCAAAGCCGTTGCCCTCTGAGAACATCTGGCTGATGGTACGGCTGATCGGGGTATCAAACACTTCGAAGCCCCCATGGTGGTTACGAGGGCTGCGTCTTGGGAGGCCGCTTTCAGGTAACCGCGATACCTTGGTAGGCGTTTCCTGAACAAGAGCTTGACTGGGCGATGCAATTGATCTAATAGATCGGATTGATCGAGAGATGCTTCTCGTGATGGGTCTGTGGCTTGGCGTGGGACGCGTAGGTGTTTTGAAGGGCTCATTAGGCATACCAGCCTTCGAAATTGGTGGGGGAGTTGATGGTCGAGCAACTGTCGGGCTCTTAAATACCGCTTGAAGATCGTCGTGTTCATTGGATTCTCCATCTTGTCTTGTGCTTGTCATATTTTCCTTGCCGACCCCAGAGCCCTTTGACAGACCCTCATCAGAAGTCTGCACGATGTTGATATTGACTTCTTCCAGTGTTTTTGGCGTTCCATCTTTTCTGGGTGAGGGGAATAACAGCCGTTTCGTGCTGCCCACTGCTTGATCAAATTCCACATCTACGGGGCTTTTTGCAGTACCACTCCCCCTAGAATGAGTCGAGCCAGGGTTAGATTGCAATTCCTGCATGTCGAGACTCGCTGATGCTTCATGCATGCCAATATCCCGATCCGGTTGACTCTTGGATTGATCATTGTGCTTAGGAGAAGATGGTTCGATGAGTGTATCAGTCGGGAGATAAGCCTCTGAAGTGGGATTCACTCCTCCATCATCCTTGCCACGAGGCTTCTTGCTTTTACCAGTTCCTCGCTTTCTGCGTTCTTGTCCCACCCGCGAGAGATCCTTGTCCCACCTGTCTTGGGGACGGTGGCTTTTGCACTTGGTGAGCCAGATGCCACAAGGGTTACAAAGTAACCGCTCCTGCCACTTTGCTTTATCATCTGAAGGCCCTAAACTCTTCTTAACAAGGCGGTGCACGGTAGGCTTTCCTTCCGCGTCTCGCTGCAGAATCTCGATTGCTGTAACTTTTCCAGGCTTCTCGGAGTATTCACAGTACTCAGGAATACCGTCATTTTCTTGTACCCAAATCTTGCGCCAGGTTGGCGTCTCAATAGCTCCGCAGTTGCTGCAGTACGGAGGCATCTCTCCATTCATGATGGCCTCTTCGAGCCGCTGCTTGATGGCATGCTTCTTTACAATGTTCTTGTTTGCCCTGGATGAAACGATTGGTGGAGATGAAGGTGCTGGGACAGCATCACTCTTGGCGAATGTAGAGTTTGTGTGTTCCATGCTTGTAGGGAGAGCGATAGGCACAACTGGGTCGCTGGCAGGTACTGAAAGAGTGAGAGGACCAGTCGAGGCTGCTCTCTTCAGTGCTGAAGGGGCCGGTGGAGCCGGGAATTCATGCTCGGCAACTATGGATTGTGAAAGAGAAGATGGCCCAGCAGGTTCGCTAGCTGGGATTGTCGGTAGAGCCAACGGCCCAGCAGACTGTGATCGACTCAACTGCCTGGGCGCCTTTGCCACCGCCGGCGCCTGCGTGGATGGTTCCTCCTCTTTTTCGACATCTCTCTGGGTACTCTGCGGTTGCAACTGCTCGGCTGTAGGCTTAGGTGCAATGCTGACAAGATTGGAGGTTCGCCGGGCAGTCTCGTCCATTCCTGGTTCGGCTGTCAGCAGAGGGCTCACTGCGTTCTCGACGGCGTCAGTCGTTGGCGGAGGAGTGGGAGCCATGCCTGGCGGAGAAGCAGGCTTTGTCTTCTTCTTGGCTGCTATCCGGCTTGGTGCCTTCTTCAATGGTGGTAGTGGTTGAGTGTCACTGGCGCATTCTTTTGCTGCCGCTGAGACAGGCCGAGGGGTATTGTAGCTGCAAATGTGAACGAGATCCTGTCCAGCCGGACCATCCTGCATCTGGAAAACTTGAACTGGCACTCCGCTAGCATTCCTTGACTCGGTAGGTTTTCGAGCTGCAGCTACTGCAACTGCTTGCGTCGGTGCGGGGATTGGCGTGTTGGCTTCATCACCAAAGAGTTCATCCAAGTCATCAGTAGCAAAGCTAGCGTCGCGAGGAAGCTCAGTTGGCGGCATCGGAGGAAGAACAGGACTAGAGGGAGGAGGGCTTGACCGAAGGAACGGAGTAGCTCGCTGTATGGGCGGCGATGAGCCAATATCTGCTGGGCTGTCTACCGAATAGTTGGGGGTGGGTGCCATGGACTCCGGTGAGCGGCCGTCTTCTTGGCCAGGTGACAACGGTTGCCTAGATTCCGCAAATGAAGGGTTATTTGAAAACGGCTGTTGACTTAGAGTTGACTCTCGTCTCAGCTTGACCGGCCCAGGGCCACTTCCTGGACCAGTGCGAAGAGGACCATCTGGGACTGGCGTAGGGGCTCGAGGAACTTCCTGTAGATGGTTGCTGTTTCCTGAAGCACCTTCGGTGTTTGCTAGAATAGGTCGAAATGCGCGCAATGAGCCAGAGGTGCTGGCAGCGACTCTTAGAGACTCGGGGCCACTTGCAAAGAGGTTTGGTGCTGTCCTCTCAACCTGGGTCGTCTTAACCCTTTTCTTAGCAGGGCCGTCTTCGCCTTCTGTGCCATCTTCATACCCAGAAGTATTTCCCTCGACGGGGTTCTTTCGCGGTCTGCCTCGTGGGCGGCCAGTAGGCGGTTTCCTTCTCGGAGCTCTGTTAGATGCCCTACTAGACGGTCTTGATGACGGTGCACCTCCGTCTGCCCGTTGCTCGCTTGGATCGACCGGGACGGGTGCTATTCTGTGAATATCCTGGGTGGGCATCTGCTGCTGCTGAGCCGCCACTGGCGCAAAAGACTCTCGATTGCCCATCATGGAAGGCTGGTGGTGGTGGTGGTGGTTGTTGTTGTGACCATGGCCTTGTGACAACGCCGGCGAAGCAACCCTTGAGACATGACCTGTCTGACCGATTTGCGGATTCGACTGAATAAATGTATTCCACTCCGAAGTACCCGTCGGAGTCATGGCACTCTCCATTGGTCTACTGTACTGTTGCATGTCGTTACTGTTTTTATGAGGGCCTGGTTTACTCGATCTCGGTGCGACGGATAGCCGTAATCTGACCTCGAGAGTCTCGCGATTGCCACCGCCAAAAACGCCCAACAGATTTTTGGTCACGCGGCCGGTGACCATCTTGGGCTGCTGCATCATCGATTCACCCTGCATAGCCTCAAGAGCCCATGAAAGCATGCCCTGGCCAACTAAGGGAAAATCGGGCTCTGAGAAGTCGACGGCGTAAATGGTGTAGTCGTTCTCCTGGCCAGCAAGCTCAGGGCTGCATTCCGTGACGGCATGGATACATGATCTTAAGTCAACAACTCCGATTGAATTCGTCTCGTCAATAGGAACCGTTTGGACCTGGAGAGGTTGGGGATATCTAGCCAAGCAATTGACCTTGGCTTCACTATCGAAGGTGTAATGGACCTTGACTAGACACGAATCTGTTAGCTGGTTGCAGCCGCCGACGGGACCGGGAACAAAGGCGCTTGACATACGGCCCATTGGTCTGATTTGAACGCCATTCTCATCAACTTCAGCCTGAGGAGCTTGAGGGGCCTGTGCAGGCAGTTGCTGCTGTTGATACTGACGTTGTTGCTGTTGAGCATGCTGGCCGTTCCAAGGGCCGCCCCCCATCGGCAAGATAGGAACAGGCGACGCCATGGCTAAGGCAATCCCGTGTGACGGCGTGTGACGATCGTTGCGATGCTCAAATAGGAAGCTTTAGCAGGCGAGTTATGCAGGAAACAAGTAACAAGGAAGCAGACACAAAAAAATGATACAAGGTAAGAGATCTGGAGATCTGAATGTGGAGTGGAGGTTTGTTGGGCGAGTGATAATTGCACGATTATTCAAATTGGGGTGGCGGTGTCATGTTCGTGACCTGAACGCGCCTATGGAGCTGTTCTGGCTTTGTCGCGTTGAGGTAGACGTGAGCGTGAGAGAGTGGATCCTCGTCAAAGCTGCCGCTTTGGAAGAGCTCTGCGCGACAGGGAGTGGGGAAAATAGGTTAGCCACGGGGTGCAAACGCAGGCTTAAAAATGGATGAAGATGAGAGAGGCAAAAATAATATGGCCAAAAGGTTGAAGAGTAACAGCGAGCAAATTCAAGACGTGTGTGCGGCAGCCACACCAAGTCAGCGCGTGTGCCACAGCAAACCAGTCGACTCTAGATGGGCAATATACCCGCCGTTGACCGTTTCAGCTCTGAGGGCAAAAAAAAAAAGGGCTGAAAGCTCGGTATAGGGCTGCAAGTGGTGAGTAGCCTTGTCCGGGGATATCTGTGATTGCTGCTCTCTGGATATGCAGCTTCAATGGCCCAGTATCCGAGACACGCGGTAAACGCGGCAGCACGTGACGAATCTGTCAAACGGCTTCAACCGTGGGTCGCAACTCGACGTTGATGCGACGTTTGCTGCGGCTCGCAGCTCCCAGCTGGAGAAGCGCCGACTGGAGGCCCCACCTCCCGACTGCAGGATGCAATGTTTCTGGGTCCCAGTCTGGTGCCCACTGTGTCCCGGACCCACTGGTGTCGCGGCTCCGAAGGGCGCTACTTGGTGGCTATAAGTGGCAACCCGGCTCCTGGCATCTCTCTGCAGAACTCATACATCGAGGCCTGACCCCGGACTCGAGTTGCGCGCTCCGTCTGGCCTGGCAACTGGCCCTCGATTCAGTCGACTCGGGTCTTGGTTGATGGGTGAGGAATTCCCGAGATTTCGTCTGCCGTCTTGTCGTCTGTCGTCTGGAACCGGGACTTTGGTCGTGTCATTCGTTTGAGGCGAGCTATCTCATCCTTTGACTCCAGGTCCTTCCCATCATTTTCTATTCCATGTTTCCTCGGCCATGAAACCGGGTGCCCCCATCCCTTTTATACTCGTCCGCCAAACCTGGCCCATGAAGCCATCATCCATCCATCCCCTTCAAACGCTTCCCATACATACAGTGTACAGCGTACAGCGTCCTCCCCCATCGTTTTCTCACGCAATCCATCCCCGCTTTTGCCCTCCTCTCCATGACTAATTCATCACCCACCCATCTGCCTCTCGTCTTGGTGTTGAAGCTCTTTTGTCCACCCTTGGGCCCTCTTTCCCCATATCCTACTTTTCTTCCGTACAGTCATGGTGAAGCCATTCCATTAGGCTGCCATGCCAGCCCCCTCACCCACCCTCCATTAGCGTACACACATCCTGTCGCCCGCTGCACCACCCACTCAGGTTGAAGATGAGCCTGAGGTCATTCCGCTCCCGTAAACCCCCACTCGTCGACGCTTGCGATGTTGTTTCCGCAACCGTGGCCACCATTCGCGTCCCCATATTTTCTTTGTCCGTGTAGGGTAGTGCCCTCATTCGCATCCATTCCCGCCCCATGGTACGGTTGATGATGCGCCTTAATGCAACAAGTTGTAATGACGGCATCCAAGGATTATCGTGCGCTCAATATCGCAGTTTATATATCATTCATATTTTTACAGGGCGAATCGTCACGCTCTCCCCGAGACATATCCTACCATCTATGTAGAACCAGTCTAAAACATCCCATCCATTCTCTACAATCGGCTACCTGCCGATGCATCCTCATTCACCCACTTGACTTTGCCCTGGGCATCGACCGTGGTCTTGCGGCTAATGATCTCGTTGACAACGTCTGCAATACCCTGGCGCCCGTTCCTCGATGCAACAATGGTCTTGGTCAGCTCCTGAAGCGTGTAGCTGCCACCGCTGATGGCAGCCTTGATTTCCTTTTCTGTGGGCACACCGAGACCCTGGTGGGGGTATTCGGAGTACGTACGGTCCGTGAACAGCTCCAGAGACTGTGTCTTCTCGAAGTCGAAGAAGGGCCGCGAGACGTTCTCGCTGGCGGGGATGGCTTCCAGTGACTCAGGCTGCCACTTTGGCTTCTCCTTGCGGACCAACAACGCCGTTACGCCTTCGGTAAAGTCGGGGTGTCGCATAAATTTGCTGGCAATCTGATGCTCCTTGTTGAACGTCTCGGCAATGTCCCACTTGCCACCAACTCGCATCTGCCTGAGAGTCACATGCACTGCCGTCGGCGATCGCTTGTTTAACGTGGCCAACTGCTTCTGGGCCCAGTCTGCAGTCTCTCCCTTCTCTGCCTTCAAGGCAGCAATAATGTCGGAAACATTGTTCTTGCTGAAGCATCGATCAACGGCCTGGCGGACCGCGCCGCCCAGCTGCATTGGCTGGTCGTAAGGCAAGCCAGTGCAAAACTCCTCCAAAGTGTCATTGATAATTGCAAGCCTCTTGGGCAAAGGGTCATCGTCTCTGAATCGCAGCTCGGCAAGGCGGGCCTCGAGGTCGGGCAGGCTGGTAGAGTGAAGGTAGTGAGTGGCGATACCGGAGTAAAAGACGTTTGGACCAGTCAGACGCTCGCTGGTCAGAGCCAGATAAGTGCCAACAGCTCCATTCATCCTCGGCAGGAAGAACGAGGCTCCAACATCGGGGAAGAAACCGATGGTTGTTTCGGGCATGGCAAAAACTGTCTTCTCAGTCGCAATTCGGAAAGGGGCGTGGATGCTGAGGCCAACACCGCCGCCCATGGTGATGCCATCCATAAAGGCAATGTACGGCTTCCCGTATGTAGCAATGTAGTGATCCAGTTTGTATTCGAGGCCAAAATAGTCGGCCGACTTTTTCCACCCATCAGCACCCTCCTGGTTGTACTCAGCAAGCGCAGCAACATCACCGCCAGCGCAAAGGGCCTTCTCGCCGGCCCCCTTCATCACCACAATGTTGGCCATGTCGCTCTTTTCCCACTCGACCAGGCGGGGCACAATCTTGCGAATCATGGAGGCGTTGAGCGAATTGAGCTTCTTGGGTCGGTTGAGCATGACGCTGCGAAGACCGTATTTGCTCTCGAAAACGACATCATTGGGTTCGTCGCCGGGGAGTTCCCTGATGGTGGTGGCCTCGGTGGAAAGCTAGTAAAGCAATAGATTAGCAAGACCTTGTTCCGATGGACATTAGGGTTCTCCCGGCAAATAGTCAGAGTAGACGTACGGGTCGAGCGCCCCAGGAGCTCAAGACTTTAGCTTGGTGCGCCATGTTGAGACTGCTTCGAAAGCTCCAACTGCTTGCAGCATTGGCAGCCGAACCAGCTCGCACCGCAATTGCTCGGAAAGACATTTAGATGGAGTGTAATGGACGGTATTACGGGGCGCTCCCTTGTGATAAAAAGTGCGCATCGATTGCCGCGGCAAAGATCGTTGTGCCGGGAGTGCGGATTGGAGGGTGCTTAAGCTGACCAGACCGGGCTAAAACGTCACGGCAATTCGCTTAGGTTACCTGGGGCTCGGGCGGCGCAGTCCGGGTTCGACAGAGCCAGTCAGATGCGGGTTTGGCCAACTGGCCCACGTCTGCCTCATGGGCCAATCATAATCGCCCACTTGCTCACGTCTCTCCAACTTTTCGACGAAACTTTTGGGTACAGCCTTGCGATCGCGTGCTGTAGCTGCCATACCCCAGCAACACACGACAAATATCTTCAAAATGGCAGATCCCAAGATTCAGTACGCTCTACTACATTCAATTCCGTCTATATGACAGGCCTTGCTGACGCCATTATAGGGAGCTGCTGAACAAGCCGCGCAATGAGCTCACGTATGCATCCATCCATCCTTCTGCTGACCTTCCCCTTTCACCCAACGATGAATACACCCAGAACCGTCCGTCTGTCATCTAACCAAGTCCAAATATAGCGAATACGAAATCGCAGAGCTTGAAGAGCACGAATTCACCTCGGGCCCCCTCTCGATCCTCCAGACTGCGGTCAAGTCGCACACCCAGGTCCTCATCTCCATCCGCAACAACCGCAAGCTCCTTGCTCGCGTCAAGGCGTTTGACAGACACTGCAACATGGTTTTGGAGAACGTAAAGGAGATGTGGACGGAGACGCCGCGATTAGCAGACGGAAAAAAGGGACGACCTGTGAACAAGGATCGATTCATTAGCAAGATGTAAGCCTGCCCGTCAGCCCTTTGGTTGGACGTGCGAAAATGCATGCCCTGCAGAGGGGCAAAATGTCCAGCTAACATGAGATGTTTAGGTTCCTGCGAGGAGATAGCGTCATCCTAGTATTGCTGAGCTAAAAGGGTCACGACGGTTGATTTTACGGCATGGTTTTATTTTGGTTGTTAATGACATGACGCGGCCACCTTTGGCCTGTGAGAGTGGATGATGTACCGGTCGGTTTTGCGACTTTTATTACATGGGAATGAACGATAGGCGTTGAAAAAAAAAATCGATCCAGTTGCGCGCATCCATTGTTGGACGCATACTTGTCCCTATTGCTTTGGTGCCTTGTATCTACCGCCGGTGACATTGTTGGAAGACGTTGAGGTTGGGGCGGTGCTGAAAATTTGGTGTGATGTCTACCTAACGGAGATCGGGTTGCCAGATACAGAGCATCGGGGTAGCAGTTACGCTTCGGGAGACTGCATTTCTTGATAACCCGCAGTCACTCACTTGACTCGGCATATAATCCAACCAGGCGAGAAAGCTAGTTTCACCCTCTCTGATCCAGATATCTCTCAGCCGGCACATCGCTATCCACATAATACGGAGTATAGAGGTCAACATGTTTGCTTTGACTTAATAGCACGATATCACAATCTGTTCAAACACAATCCACCTCGCCGCCCTTGCCGTCAAATCTCCTCCCACTCCTCATCCACCCTCCCAGCCAACCCGCCAAAGAAACAAGCCAGCCCAAACGCCCCCGGATCGGGAACCTGCTCAAAGCCCTTGCCGCCCACGTACACCGTCCTCCCCAGACTAGCCTGCATGCACTTTGTCTCATCAGCCGCCTTCTTCGCCGCCTCCGCGGCCTTCTTCACGTCCCCCGTCTTGCCGACGACTTCGACAAACGGGTACAGTGCATCCACAAGCGTTCTGTCCCCGGGCCGAGCAGGCGTATACTTGGACAGCGCACCGCAGGATTGCTCGAGGGCCTTGGCCCACGAGGAAGGCGTTAGTTCGCCGGAGGGAAGGGAGCGAAGCGCGTGAGCAAGCGCATTGAGGAAGATGGCGTAAAGGGCACCGGATGTGCCGTCCATGGTGGATTCCACGACGGGGATAATGGACGTCAGTGTCAGGAGGGGGTCGTCGGTGAGGGTGGTTTGGTTGATGTGCTTCAAGACGGCTGAGAGAAAGTTAGCGATTCCCATTGTTGTGCCCGTATGCAAAATTTATCAGACGTACCCTCTGCTCCTCTCTTCAGCCCAATGCCGCAATCTCCATCCCCGACGACGGTATCATACCGCGTGACTTCTGGCTCGGCGGCAATGACCCTCTCCAGAGCCAATTCCAGCCTCTCCTTGACGATGCCCTTATCCATCCTCAGCCCGCTGGGCTTGACTTGCTCACCTTGTCCCCTCTCTTCTGTGCGCGTGGCCGTGTTCTTCGCCTCCCACGTCTCCTTGCGGATCGGCGCCGACCACCCCGTCACCTCCGCGGCGGCATCGAGCAGCTCAACCATCCCCGGGCCGCCAATGTCGGTATTGACCACGTTGAGCAGCGAGATGCTGAATCCCAATCCGTTCAGACTTGTCATAAATGTGCCCGTTAAAATGCGAACAGGGTGGACTCCATACTTGGAGTCCAGCTGCGTCACAACTTCCGTCGTAATACCGCCCATTTCCAAGACAGACACGCCTCCCAAGTTGTTGATCATCAATACGACCTCATTGGAGTTGACGTTTAGGAACGCGCGGTCCTTGTCGCTGGAATCAAGCAGCTGGGCAAGCATCTTGCCCACCAGCCGAGGCAGATCGAGCTTCGCCCTCTCAGAACCAGGCTCGTTATGAATGCCCATGCCGATCTCTGCCTCCCCCTGTGCCAGCTTGTCGTCTTGGGCATCGACCTTCCTCCCGGGCACGTGAACGTGCTCCAAGCTCGCCCCGACACTGACGATATTCTCAGCCGTCAACCTCGCCACCTTGGCGACGTCACCCAGAGACCGTCCCTTTGCTGCCAAAGCCCCCGCGATCTTCAGCACGAGTACTGTTCCCGCGATACCTCTTCTTCCCACCTTGCCTGCCTTTGCTCTACCGACGCCCACATCATCGCCCACTACTACCATTTCGACGTCTAACCCGCTGGCCTTGGCCTTCTCAACAGCCATGCCAAAGTTGAGCACGTCACCTGTGTAGTTCATCACTACCACCAACACACCCTGGGAGGTATCTACGCGGGAGGTGATCCCCGTACGGACCTGTTCGGCGGATGGGCTAGCGAATATGGTACCTGCTACTGCGGCGGAGAGCATGCCAGGACCGACCATGGCTGCGAAGGAGGGCTCATGGCCGGATCCGCCGCCGGAAATGATTGATACTTTGGGAGTTGCATGGCTTGGGCGGCGGTAGATGATTTTGGAGTCTGGGTCGAGAGCGACGTTGGGGTTGGTAAGGGTTAGACTGTGGAGGGCGGTGTTCACGAGGCGTGTTGGGTCGTCGATGAAGTGTTTGGAAGACATGACGAAGGTGTTGGTGGCTGATGAATTTCCAGAAAGTAGGGGTGTAAGTAGTAGCTTGGCTTCGTTGATGGGAGCGCAGAGACCGATGCCGATGGTGTGGGTAGGTGACGACGAGAAGAGTTATAATAGAAAAGAGTCAATTTGTCCAAAGAAAAAGATATTCAATTGATAATAGAATCACCCACTTGCTCTTGAACAATCCGGCAAGACGATATCAAGTGGCGCAAGTGAAATGACGAGCGGGGTCACAGTCGTCCGTCGTCCCGTCGTCCCTTGTTCGTCTGCATTGAGTTATGAACCGGCCCTGCACAGGGAATGCAGATATATGCCAGGTCGCGGTGGGGAAAAAATCCTTGGGCTGTTGCTGGCAACCTGGGCAATCTGGGGTGCCAAATGTCCGAATATCCAAGGGAAGCCACAGATGCGGATACCTGGGTGGCTTCGCTCGATGTCGTTCCCACCAATGCAGGATACGCAGCCCCATACATCCAAATCATTCTATTGCTAAGTGTTCGAAGACATACAATCGCTGTCTTGTTGATGCAATACTTGAATCGAATCTAGCTGACAAAGAAGACGCCATGCTGGTTGTAAAAACCTGTGGCCTTTCTCGCCTCCTCCCAGGGAGCTAGTCTCCCAATGGCGACAACTTGTTTGCTTGCCCTTCTCATTCCATATTCCAATAAACGCCTTTCCAAAAAAAAAAAAAACCCTAGAATCATGGATGGTATCCCCACATGCCGGAATATAAAAAAGAAACAGCTCCAGCTGAATTGAAAACAAAGCAAAAGCCCAGCACTCCACATGCATCTCCTATCTAAACTCCAGGAGCATAAATGCAGTTCCGCCAAGGGCCCCTAAAATGAATAGCATTGTGATAACACCTGCGCCAGCCTTGTCCGCCGTCGTCAAAGGCTTCAGCACGGTCGGATCTTCAGTGCCACCACTGCCGGCGGATGGGTTGCCTTTGGATGTACCACCATTGTTTTGCGTCACCGGGGGGGTTGATTTTCGCACGAGGTTATACATGACTGCATCCAAAGCATTCATCTGCTCACCAACACCGACCAATCCATCGAACTTGCCCTGCGGAATCCAGCTGAAGCCGCAGGCAGTCCCTAGCTGACCCTTGAAATTTGGCGGCGCTGTTGACCCGGTGCAGGCGGCTGCAGCGGCCGTGCCGGCCTTCTCAAGCAATGGTTTGATGGTGTCATAGGTATAAGGCACCAGTTGGCTAGTGGCCGCAAGCCAGCGAAGGAGGTAGCCCTTGAAACTCTGTTGGTCGTTGTTGCACACTTTGTTGAACTCGCAAAACTGCTCGTAAACGACACCGTCTTTGAAGAACTTCTCTGAAGCATGCTTCAAAATACCATCAACTGCCTTCTTCCACTTGTCCTCCGACGTAGCGTTGTACATGGCCGCGGCGCCATGGAGGTAAATGCCCGAGTTATAGGACCACTCCAGCAGATCAATTCTTGAACAAGTTCCGTCCGAGTCGATACTGATACCGTCATGCACTCCGTAGTCACTGGTGATCAGATTGATGGATTGTTGCCACTCAAAAATTTTAGTTGCCCATTCGCCGTAGGTACTGTTGCCTGTATAACGATGCAGTCGAGCCGCTATGTTGAAGAAGCATCCGTTTGAGATGGAGTTTTTGTAATTCCAGCCATTATTGAACTGGAAAATTTGCCACCTCATGCCACCTTTGCAGTCGGCTGAATCCCATCGCAAAACGTATTGGTTGAACACGGCTTGTGCCAGGGCAAGCCACTGGGCTTGATCGCTGGGAGGGTCGGGGAATTTGTTCTCGGCGGCAGACATGGCCGCCATGGCCCAAAAGCCTTGATCGTCGTTTCCTTCGGTTCTCGTCTGATTCTTGGGCATAAAGTCCTTCGTATCACCGGCTTGGTGCAGCAGAGCCTGCATTGTGGCGTCATTATAAGAGCTATCCCCCGTGAGATGCCAATAGTCAATGATGGTCCCAAACATGGCCCCTGCTTCCCACCCTACTTGGTGTTAGCGATACGTTGGCGCGTGTACGGAAAGAGGCGTTGTTCTCACAATAGTATGGATCAGGCAAATTTCCTGGTGTATCACCCGTATTGTTTCCGGTATAATATTTCATTAAGCCGTAGGCGATTGTCCCAGCTGTGTTCTTGATGGAGGCTAAACATCACTAATCATTAGACTACTACCCACGAAGGAATCTATCAAAAGAGTTCGCTAGAGTCAACCCACCTTCATCTTGAATTTGGACATCAAGACCATTAACGAGAGTGCCCACCAGCAGGAGCGACAATGCCGCCACTGACAGGAAGTCTCTCATGCTGCTATAGCGACGCAGGAGCAAGCCCAAGAATGTAAATATGCAGAGAATGAACTGAAGAACAGGACTCGTTGGAGGAGCCTGTAGCGTCTAAAGTCAAGGGAAAATAAAATCTTGATACAAGCCCAGCTTGCATTAGTCTAATCGATCGTGATTGTG